CCACAAAAAAAAAAAACTCCAAGTCAGATGGCTTCACTGGTGAATTATATCACATTTTAGGGAAGAAATAATAGCAGTTCTATATAACTCTTGAATGAAATTGGAAAGGAGGGAATATTTCCGAATTTATTCTGTGAGGTCAGCATTGCCCTAATACTAAAACTAGACAAAAATATTACAAGCAAAAAAGACAGATCAGTATCCCTCACGAACCTAAAACAATTCTAGGAAAAATTTTAGCAAACTGAATCCAACAATAAATAAAAAGGATAATATGCCATGACAAAGTAGGGTTTATCTCAGGAATATAAAATTTGTTTAACACTCAAAAGTCAATGACACATTCAAAAACAATGGATGCTGGCACAGATGCAGAGATAGGAACACTTACACACTGTTGATAGGACTGCAAATTATTACAACCTCTGTAGAAAACACTATGGAGAATTCTCAAAGAACTAAAAGTAGACCTACAATTTGACCCAGCAATCCCACTACTGGGTATCTACCCAAAGGAAAAGAAATAATTTAATCAAAAAGACACCTGCACATGAATATTTATTGCAGCACAATTCATAATTGCAAAGATGCAGAATCAACCCAAGTGCTCATCAATTGATAAGTGGATTAACAACATGTGGCATATATTAATATGTACCATGGAGTACTACTCAGCCATAAAAAGTAATGAATTAATGTCTTTTGCGGCAGTTTGGATGGAACTGGAGACGATTATTCTAAGTGAAGTATCTCAAGAATGGAAAAAGGAACACTACATGTATTCTTTAATAGTTTGGAAATAATTGATGGGGACACATGGGCAGTGAAAGAAGTAAACATCACTGGAAATCAAGAGACGGGGAGGGAGAAGAGGGGAGGGCAAAAACTTCCTAAGAGGTACCATGAACACTACTCGGGTGATGGGCACACTTATAGCCTTGATGAAAGCAACATAAAAGCTGTCCCTGTAACAAACACATTTGTACTCCCTTAATATTTTGAAATAAAAAATAATTTTAAAAAGTCAATCAAGGATCAATGTAATCCACTATATTGCTAAACTATAAAGAAAAACCACATGATCACTTTAATAGATGCAGAAAAGACATTTGACAATCTCCCATACATTCCTGATAAAAGCTCTCAGTAAAGTAGGAATTAAAGGGAACATCCTCCATATGATAATGGGGATGTACAAAAACATACACCTGACATCATGCTTAAGGGTGTTAATACTAAGACTGAGCATTTATTACTAAAGTATCAGGAAGACTTAACACTTAAAACTAGATTTCCCTCCCCTCCAAGATTAGAAACAAGACAAGGATGTCCAACAGAACATATATAAGGCTATGAGATCACATACAAACACCAATCATATATCTATGTGCTAACAATGAATAATCTGAAATTGGAATTTTAAAAAAGATAAAATTTATGACAGCACCAAAGGATATGAAATACTAAGAAATTACTGAAAATAACTGAGTTGACATCTTTTAAAAAATATGAAATACTTAGGTATAAAATCTTGTACGTCACTGTGCAATTTCGAAATAATAAAAATCAAAAGGAGATCTTGAGAGTTTCCACGGGGAATAAACAGATCACCTGGAAAGGACTGGCCATCGGACTGTGGTTAGACTCCTCGACAGGGAGAATGGCGAGGCTAGAGGAAAGGGAAGGGTGGCGAAAGTGACTAACTCTCATCCGGCACAGCGAGGACTTGGCAGGCACTGTGTAAGGCGGCAAACTAGCAAACAGACGCACAAGCACAGCAGACGGAAATGTGGGCTGACCACCAGAGGCCTAGAAGCGGCTGGGTTGGAACTGGCTGCCTCTGAGAGCACAGCTGGAGGGGAAGGTGGGGCAGGAGATAGATAACGCAATCATTTAATAGCCCTATTTGTATGAAATGTTTTACAGAACACAACGGGTGCATGTTGGCACCAGAGCCCAGAGCAGGTTAAATGGACTCCAGGGCAGCGCGGCTACGCTTTGCACATGGCCAGGGCGCTCTGCTGCGACAGCCAGTAGCCAGCTGTTCTCTTCTCCACATCAACGCTTCGACTTCACTGAATTTATTTTATACTCTCTCTCTCTCTCTCTCTCTCTCTCTCTCTCTCTCTCGCTCGCTCGGTGACAAAGAGCCTTGTTGGGGTGTGGCTCCGATGGAGCCCACTGGTGGAGGGCCAAGGCAGGCCAGCAGAGTATGTGATCTCCACACACGGAGCACTGAGCTCAGCCATGAGAACACGCAGGCCCCGCGAAGCTCTGCATGCGACGCACCCATCAGCTGCATTGCAGAGGGAAGTGCGGCAGAGCATGTGTTTGGGGGCGAGAGACAGTGAGTGGCAGGAAGGACGTGACCTTGCACCCCCCAAAACCAGGGACACTGCATTTCGCAGGGATGCCCTAATTCCGTGTCTGTACCAATACTCTCCTAAACGTGGGACAGTGGTGGTTCCCACATGATTTTAGTCAGTACAGCATTAAGTCTCATGGAAAGAAAAGTTGTTCCTTTTCAATTATCCTTCAACTTTATTTACGTCGAGGAGAAAAATCTTAGTTTGGTACCCTTTTAATCAAGAGCTCTGGTTTAAAGGGTCTCTTTCTTTCTCAGACCTGAGGCTCAGAGTGTTTCACTAATATGCAATTTTTGTGCTTGCATTTGTTTCATGGTTACTGTCTATTTTTTAAATGACAAGTGAAACTGGTTTTCCATTTGTGGTAGTGGTAAAGGTTAAATTTACTCTTTTAAATAAATTTATTTACAATGAAAAATAGGTTATTTAAGAATATTAAGCAAACAGCAGCATAAGAGAAAAGCGATTATGGTGATATTTGTAAAGATGGTTTGCCAATCACTGAAGGTTTGGGAACCACTCTGGTCCAAGCTCTGCCCGGGTTTACCTGCCGCATACAGCTCCTGGCAGGACAGGGAAACACCAAGGGAAGAATGACCTCATTTAGGTTGGACACTGGCAGCATTTTCTGGGTGAGAAACTGAATTTGCTCATGCTTTTTAATAATCTCCCAATTAAATGTAACTGTTGTGAAATATATCCCAATTTGAAGTGTACAATAAAACCTAGAATACAGCCTTGGGAGTTGTGGGCCCATAGTTTCTGAAAAGTAGATGGCAGGTAAACTGCTGAGCTATGCCTTTTCCTCCCCAATTATACCTAAAAAAATAAAATAAAATAAAAACCCAAACACTCCCCCACATATAATGAATGCACTCAACATCTCCATGTATGTAGTCTCCTAATCTCCAAGCCTTCAATGCAGATAAACACGTTACAGACGGTTTCACACCAACGCTGCGCTATCAACTTGGGCTGCAGGAAATGGATTTCAGCAGCAATTGCTGCTCTCTCCCCACGTGAACACTCCTACAATGGGAAACAGGTGAATCCAGAGAGCAATGAGGTCAGCACAGAGGTCTCACTTTCAACCGCCAATGAATGCAACTATTTCCATGATAACCAGTGCTCAACACGCTTACAATGATCATCGTAACTTGTTCATAAGAAAATTTGGGGAAAAGAAGAAGAATAAGATTGAAAAAATAAATCAAGGTCAAAAATAATGGTAGCAAAAGATACCATAAACCAATTTAAAAGAGGGCCATGGTCTGGGAGATTGCCACACATCTAACAGGTGCAGGATCATAATACAGTGTGTGTGTGCGTGTGTACGACTCCTACAAATCAATAAGACAACCCAGTAGAAACATGGTCGAATAAACAAATAAAAGTGTTCGAATAAACAAATCATAGGGAGGAAATAAACACAGCCAATAAACACATGACAAGTGGTTCAATCTCAGTAATAAGAGAAATGTACATTAAAATAATGACATGCCATTTTGCACCTAAAAGTAGCAGGCATTTTAATGTAGTAGCATCAAGAGTTGGCAAGGGTATGAGGAAACAGGAGCCCTTGTACTCTGCAGCCAAGAACATAAATTGGTACCTCCATTTTGGAAAGCAATTTGACCCTGTTTATTAAAATGTGCACAAAATTTTCCACCTGGAGGTATATACTTAGACAGGCACTCATGTGCACAAGACGGCACATACTACAGTTGCATTTCTTGAACTCCTGACCTCCAGGGATCCTCCTGCCTCTGCCTCCCAGACTGCTAGGATTACAGGTGTGAGCCGCTGCACCAGGCCTACAGTGGCATTTCTAATAGTGGATAATCCAAAAAACAAAAGCCCCCTAAGAGAAGAAAAGCTAAATAAACTACAGCATAGACACACCATGAAATATTATGAAGCAATTAAAACAGATAAAGTAGATCTATATGGGTTAGCATTGAAAGATCTTCAAGAAATATAAGCGAAAACTTCAGTTGCAGAAAGATACACATATTATACCTATATAGGGGAAAAAATCTTTAAAAACAATGCTGTCTGGTTGCTTAGTGCTATCGACTCAGGTGTACTGTGCTTAAATGCGTGAACGATATTTCAGAGGACGGAGACCAGACTGGTAATTGCTACTGGAAGGGTAGAGAGTACTGGGCAGAGGAAGGGAAGTAAGAATCTCTATTGGTGGTAGGGGTCTAAGGTGACTTTAATGTATTTGTAATGGTTTAATTTTCCAAGGGGTTGATATTTATGTATTTCTTGAGCAATTTAAATAATGCAACAAAACACTGGAAAGAGTAACACTGATCTTTTAGGGACTGAGGGAAGGGGGCAGAGACGGTAGGCCAGTGGAATAGGGAGTGTCTGCTACTTTACTGAAATTCATGGGAACATCAATGTGTTAAATTCATCAGGTGGAAGACTGCCCTGTGGGGCTCCCTCCTCTTTGCAAACAAGTTGTCTCTGTGACTTTGCAAGGCTCAAGGCTCAGGGCTCCCAGGGCGTGCCTCCCTCCCTCAATATAAGAGAAGGTGAGACCTTACCAATAAGAGTCAAACTACAGTCTAAGAACCCTTGGTCAGAGGAAATTCAAAAAAGGAATACACATGCAGCATAAGGGAATCTTTCTCTGCTTCTTTATTAAATTGCTATATCCACATATTGTACTTTAGCAGCCAAAATTAAGTCCCCTACTATGGTCTCATGGTAATAACACTGTAAAACAATACAAAAGGGCAATAACTCCCCAGTTTCTTAAGGCGGAAGTCTGAAATCTACAGTGCTTTTTTTTTTTTTTCAAAAACCACAGCTTGGTAAAATGCACAGCTATTAGAAAACAGATTCTCTTCCTAAATGCCTTGAAATTCATGTCCCTTTTAATTGCCCAGAATTCATGTCACTTGTGTGAAAAAGCTATAAACATACACAATCATAAAAACACACTTAGACATCTTGAACAAAATCAATGCCATATTATTTTAGTTTATTATTCCTCGTAGAGTTCACACTGGTCGTCTACTGTGATATTTATTTATACCAAAGAAGCGAAAGAGCATAAATGCCACACTTGGGACAACACTAATGCTAGAATTGAGTAGCATACATACAGCTTCTGCCTTAACTTAAAAAACTAAAGCAGTCTTTACGAATCAATCTCACATAATACAGGACAAAGCTGAAGGTCACCGTATTATTCATTGAAAAAACCACCGATAAGGATTAAAATTAAGGTTCACGAGATTTGAGGAGCTGTTAGCTGGCAGAATGGCTTCCTCCTCCCTACCGGGGATGGCGGGGGGCTGGGGTGACACACACTGTAAGAAAGAATACGCTTTCCCCGGGCTTTGTTATTCTTCTCTCTTTGGAACCTCTAAGCTCTTTATTCAGGAGGTCCTCTGCTATTCACAACTTTGCTGCTCTTATGAAAAATTAATGACTGCTTTCTCTTCAACGGAAACTGCCTCATCTTGCAGGGTAACAGGAGGCCGCGCGGAAGCGAGGCCGCAGCAGGAGAAGCCCCTCTCACACCAGCCCGTTTACGGCTGGGGGAAAACACCCCCGTAGTTCAAGGATAGCAAGTAGATGGTGTGCAGCCTGCTGCAGGTGGCAGAACAGGGACCACATCCTTCACAAAAGGGAAGTGCCAACAAAAGCAGCCTGCCCCCAACGCAGGCTGCCCCCACGCCCTGCTCACTGACTCCTTTATGCCGGCACCGAGCGCCACGCTGTGTTGCAAGCTGTTGTTTGCAGGCAGATTTTCTGCTGGGGTTAACAGGTAAGAGCAGTGATCCCACATGCAACAGCAAGAGCAAAATGGAGAGGATGCTTTTAGCTAAGCTGCAATGCTCAGCAGACACTTCTGAAAATACCACAGCTCGGTGTTGCATCATGCTTGAATGGAAGAGCTGCAGGTGGGGGCAGCGTGCTTGTTTCAAAATGATTTACCAAGGTAAGGAGAGAGTGTAGAATTGCAGAAATAAAATAACGTGGCTCATGTCTTGTCACATATGCATCAGTCTTCATTTTACTACCCAGTTGTGGCCATCGAAATAGTTTCTGGTGAAATTCTACTTTCATTGTTTAAAAGCCCTGCATTTTTATACGGCTCAAACTCAGCTCTTCTCACTCTGAGCCCAGTGCTCCTGGGGAGCGGGCGGAAGGACATCCACATGCCATCCAGTCGAGCCACCCAGCCAGCCAAGGGCTGTGGGCAGAACAAATGACAAAACGTTGAAATACCTATTATCAAACAGACGAAAGGTGAATGTCGGTGAGGGTGTGGAGAAAAGGGAACCCTAGTGCACTGTTGGTGGAAGTATAAATTAATACAGCCATTATGGAAAACAGTATGGAGGTTCCTCAGAAACCTAAAAATAGAGCCACCATATGACCCAGCAATCCCACGTCCGGATACAGACCCAAAGGAATCGCAATCAGTGTGGCAAGAGAGGCTCACGCTCACGCTCCCGGCAGCCGTGCTCGCGACAGCTCACATACGGGGCAACCTAGGCGTCCACCCTTAGATGAAGGAGTAAAGAAAATGTGGTACGCATGCACAATGGAATACTGTTCATCCTCCAAAAAGATGGAAATTCTGTCATCTGCCACAACATGAATGAACTCGGGGGACATCACACCGAGTGAAATAAGCCAGGCACAGGACAAATACTGCATGGTCTCCTTACAGGTGGAGTCTGAAACAGGAAGCTCAAAGAAGCAGAGTAGAATGGTGGTTGCCAGGGGCTGGCAATTGTGGCCGAGGGAAAAGGGGCAGATATTGATCAAAGGGTATGAAATTTCAATTAGACAGGTGGAATAAGATTTAGTGATCTAGGGCATAGAATGGTGACTATCATACACAATACAATATGTATTTCAAAACTGCGAAAAGAGGAGATTTTAAATGTTTTCACCACACACAAAAAATGGTAAGTATGGGAGGTGATGGGTTTATTAACTAGCATGATTTAATCATTTCACAATGGAAACATATATCGAAACATCACATCATGCCCCATAAATATATCCTATATAGAATTATTTTAAAAAGAACGGAGCATCAACCTGATGTCAAACACACAGCGATGGTGAAGCCCACGGATCTGCACCTGCACCCACGCCGCCCTGGCCTTCCTGGCGCTGACGGGCGCAGTGGGGGAGGTGCGGCCAAACATCTCATCCAGATAACCGCGCTTGTGGAGGCTGGGCTTCCGGAGACGCCATTCAAGGGCATATCTTTTGTGGGATTTCTTTGTTTGCTTTTAAATCACCGTTTCTTAAGTGTTTGTAGTAAGCGCACACCAAGCTCCGGTGTTTAAGAGCATGTAATGGAGACTCTACAAAGGATAGCTTTGTATTGACTGGCTGTGCTTAGCAGCGTTTGCATTTGCCTATTTTTCTGTATCACTAATGGCACATGCAATGACAATTAGAGAAGCCTACTTGCACACACTTTTCAGAGAACACTCCATCTACAAGTGTTTCTCCTCAGTTTTAAGAATTTTAAAATATTTGAGGGACAATGGCTGGCAGCCTCTGTAGTGTGCTCTCTCCATGCCAAGCACTGCTTTAGGGTTTTCTGACAGGTTATGAACTTCACAACAATCCCATGAGGCTTGCACTATTATTTTACAGACACCCCATTTTACAGATCAAGACACTGAGAAACAAAGAATGAAAGTGGCTTGCCTAAGGTTTCCAGGTAGCAGGTGGTGGGGCTGGGCGTCAAAGCTGGTAGACTGGCTCCAGTCTGCTGTGATTTCCGTCTGAAGAGAGATGTGATTTAAAATAATTTTTAAACATATGAAGTTCATTTCCAACATAATTATAGACATCAGATCCAAATAACTAAAATATCCAGGAAAAAAGAGCCATGAACATACACTTTCAGAGTATGCAATGGAGAGCAAAATCAATTCTTGCTTTAAAATCTATTATAAGGATTGTACACTGTCAACATTCTATTGTCATATATCAAAAAATCCTCACCACCACAACAAAACATTCACGATGATATAAAAGTGAACTTTGTTCCTTAAGGAAATGCTATAAATATGCACAAGAAAATATTTTTCTATCCAAAATGACAATCAGCCAATAGACAGCAACCGTGCATCAGCTCCTTCATGCCAGCAGCAAGAGTCATTTCTCATCTCCTGGAATTTAAACCAGAAGATCTGTGAAGCCTGTCATTGGTTCAGCATGGATGAGGGAGCCTGTTAGAAGCCATCGTTACAATCTAAAACTTAAAACTTCTGCATGACAAAATAAATCTTAAAAAGGTTAAAAGATAAGTTGTAAGTAGGGAGTAGATATTTGCAACAAACCTAGCAAACAAAAGATTGTTAACCAGAAATTATAAAGAACTCCCACAAATCAATAAGCAACTCAGTAGAAAAAAGCATACATGGCATATTCAAGAATTTCACAAGAAAGGACATTCAAATGGCCAATAAACAGGGAAGGATGTTGAGCCTCACTAGCAATTCGGGAAACACAAATTATAATCACAGTAAGCTACCTATTTCAGATAGGGAAAATTTTTAAGTCGACCAACATAAGATGTTGATGTAAGCGTAGGAAAATGAATGCTTTCACACACAGCTGGTAGGAGTCTAAAAGGCACAGCCAATTTGGAGGTGTTCTGGAAGTACCTAATGACATGGAAGATGAACAAACTCTGTGACCTTAAAATTATATGTGCAGAGAAATACTTGCACAGATGCACTGGGGGACATACACAAGGACATTCATTGCAACATAATTTGAAATGATGAAAAACTTGACACAACCTAGATATCTGTCAGCAAGAACATGCATCACTCACCATGAACATGTGGTATGTTCATAGGATATAACAGCTAAGGACATTGCTCTAGATTTACATGTATCAAAATACACAGAGCTCAAAAATGACGATGAGTGAAAAAAGTTGCCGAACAAAATATAGTGTGGTATCATTGATATAATGTTTACAAAGCCCCCATGTGAACAATATTATGTGTGTCTAAGGATATGTATATGTACATACAAAAGTTTACAAAATTGGCTGGAAGGATTCACACCAAGTTCAGAGTAGCATTTATTTCTGGGCACTAAGGAGAGGAACTGAGATTGGAGAAATAGACAAAGGGAGGTTTAAGTCAATGTGATGTTTTTTAAAAAAAGATAATTAATTTATATATCACTTGTATAATTTAAAAAATATTATATACATAGAAAAAAAAGTCTAACTCCAATATGCCAGTGATTAATTCCAAGTGATGAGGAGGTGTCAGATTATTCTTTACTCTTCTTTTGAAGAAAAGTTTTATAAATTTTTCAGTTTTCCAAAATAAAAAAGTATAATTTAAAAATCAATAGAAATGTAACTTCTAACTTTCAGCTGAACCTGCAATGTCACGCTCTACCTCTTGTGATTAGCCTTTCTTTATTTTTATCTTACACAATTATGCTCTTAAATAAGGACAAATTAGAGTCAGAACACTTAGATACTCCATTTCTTTCAACAAAAAGGAACAAAATATATTTGGATAACTTTTTTTTTCGTAAAGAGTGCTCTGAAATTAGCAAGGCATGTTCCGTAAGTCATGGAGGACAGTGCTTGGGGACTTCAAGTGCACAGGCTGCGGCCGTTTCATGGAACCCACAAAGACGTTGTGCCTTTGGATTTAAATAGCAGTTGCAACAAACTGCTAAATACTTAAATAACTCTGAGCCACTCTTCCATCATATCCCAAAAGAGAATAGTATAGTGGTTTCGAGCTGAGCTGTCCAATACAGTAGCAATATGTTCTTATTTAAATTTAAATTAATTAAAACTAAACACAAGTAAAAATTGAGTCCTCAGTCAAACTAGCTACATTGCGAGGCTCGGCAGCCACTGTGGCTAGAGGCCACCGCATTGGACAGCAGTCACAGAGCGGGCCCCTTATCTCCCAAGTGCTGCCGGGCAGCGCTGTGTGAAGCACAGATTCTAGGGCCGGGCTCCCTGGATCCCGGTCCCAGCCCTACCACTTATGAGCTGCTTGGCTGTAAGCAATTTTTACGATCTATTTGCGCCTCAATGACTTCCTCTCTAAAATGAGGGAAATCATAAAAACGTCTCGTTTCCACTGGGTTGTCGTAAGGGTTAAATGACTTACCCAAGCAGAACTTATATTAACATAATAAACACCATATAAATCACAAGATATTATTACTGCCTTTTGCCTCCCTACCTGATGGCAGGAAGTGCCACGTGGCCTCACCATTTCTCACTCCCAGAGGGCCAGGATGTGGAGCGGAAGCAGCCGCGCTGTGGCCACCAGGAGAAGATCCTGTTCTCCTGCTCCGGCTGCCCCGCTGGGGACCGCCCACGGCCCGGGGCGAAAGCAGGCACAGCTGTGACGAGGAGGCCACCGCTCAAGCCCATGTCCTGGGCCGCCACGGAGTGGTCAGGGTTTGGATCCTGCAGTTCTGCCCCGACAGAGCAGGCGCCCGCGCGGGGCAGGGGCGGGAGTCTGTGCCTGTCGGAGACCCTCGTCCTCATCGAGAGCTGCCAGCCAGAAGCCCAGTCCAAAGACACGTGCTTGCCACTACGAGGGGTTGCCAGGGCTTATTAAGTGAGAACAACAAGGAGAAAAGTGTCTCAGTCTGCTTAGGAAAGAGCAGAGAAATAGAAATATACGGACACATTTTCTTATGCAAAAGGAAAGGAAAACTCATGTTTTTAAATGGTGAGAGGAGAGAAAGTGAGGGTAGATGTTGAACATGTCTTGTTTTGTAGATCTGACTTTGCAACTATGTAAATATTTGTATAATTATAAAATTAAATACATTTAAAAAGGAATTATTAAAAATTTAAAGCAAAATAAAACAAGTGAACCTAACTATGTAAACAGTTGGTGGCATACACACAGAGGAATTATTTAGCGGTACGTCCCTGGTGGGACATACCCGAAAGACAAAGAGAAAAAAACTAAACAGTTTTCATTAGCCATGTTATTGATTGTAGTTTTTGTATAATTATCTGAGGCTGATTGTGTATCATGTGGGATATAGCAAATTAGTAATTACACTGGAGTTATTTAGAATGGAAATTTTCAGCATGAGAGAAGGGAGATACTCATACTGCATGGATGTGAGATCCACGAAGAAAAAAGATGCTGTCCTGAATTTGAATTGGACATGTCAGAGTGGATTAATCATTTTGTTAAAGAAACCATATTTCCTACCTTTGTCCACTGAAAATAATAACCATCCCCGAGGCAATGAGCATGCTTACTGCCCAGAATGTGGTCTCCGACTAGTATTCTCCACTGAAAGGAACCAGGAACCCTAAGAGAAATGGCTGATTCTAGGTCTGGGGCAGGATATACCCAACACGAACCTGGAACACACTGTGAAGCCAGGAAGCCACCAGAGAGAATGAAGGTCACGCCAAAAGGGCTCCAGAGCTGACCTGATTGGGTTTTCACTGGCCAAAGACAGAACAACTTAAACATCAATAAATATAATAACTGCAATCTACGTATAAAACATTCAACACATAAACTCCTAATAATATCAATAATAAAAGTAACAAACACAAACATTCATTCATCGCCTTTGCACTATGCCAGGAAACAACTTACTATTTTGAAAACTGGTATGTAAAGGGAAAAATAAAGCTTATAGCCTACTTATCCTATATGAACTGTACCCAAGGTGGCCAAACTGGTGAGGAGGGAAGCTCTCTCTTTACAGAAGATTTCAGTTAGTAAGTGAAGAAAAAAATGATAGGATGAGAATATTTATTAGAGGTCGCCTAATGAATGAATGTAGGCAGTAATCATCAATGACAGCCAACACCTCAAAAAGTAGAGACCACAAGAGACTATGACTTGACGGAGATATCAACACCATCTACGAAACAGCCGTGCTGCCCCCAGCGCGACAGCGCCCTCGTCTGTACAGCCAGTTCTCAGGAGACACGGCAGACAGAGGCACAAGTTAATGACACCAGAGGGATACAGTCAGGGACATTCTGACATCCTACAAAACAAGCATTCAGGTTTCTTCAACACCGTCAACAGTGCCAGTGAGAACCACCACACTGGAGAGAGAAGGGAGTGCAGAGAGGAAGACAGACAGACAGACAGACACACACACACACACACAGAGAGACAGAAAAGACACAGACAGAGAGACAGAGAGACAGAGAGACAGAAAGAGACACACAGAGACAAAAGAGACACACACACAGAGAGCGAGAGAGACAGAAAGAGACACACACACACAGAGACAAAAGAGACACACACACACAGAGCGAGAGAGACAGAAAGAGACACACACACACAGACAGAAAAGACAAAGAGAGAGAGAGACAGAAAGAGACACACACACACAGAGACAGAAGAGACACACACAGAGAGAGCGAGAGACAGAAAGACAAACACACAGAGAGACAGAAAAGACACAGAGAGAGACAGAAAGAGACACACACACACAGAGACAGAAGAGACACACACAGAGAGCGAGAGAGACAGAAAGAGACACAGAGAGAGAGAGAGAGAAAGAGACACAGAGAGACAGAAAGAGACACAGAGAGACGGAAAGAGACAGAGACAGAGGCAGAGGGAGAGGCAGAGGGAGAGGTGGTAGGAGATTAAAGAGACACAGCCATGAATCAATACACAGGCCAATTTAGATCCAAATTCAAACAAACAACAACAACAAACCAAACAACTGTGGAAAAAAAGAAGACAGGAAAATATAAACACCAACTATATACCTGGTAATATGA